AAAAACTAAGTTGCTGTATTTCTATTATGACTGATAATATAATATACAATACAAAATACAGTTGTGTTTAGGTCTGCTCTTCACTTGAATGTAGCTCCCAGAAAAAGCAGGACACTGGCAAGTAAGGCAAGTAACTGAATAATCTGGAGAACAGCATTATGCCTGTGTCATGTTTTCCAGATTATAAAACAACTTAAAGAGCTCTTAAAAAAAAAAAAAAAAATTTTCTTGAGCTCTTTAATTAGGAAAAAAAAAAAACAACCAACCAACCAAAACCCAAAAAAGAAAAAACAAAAAACAAAACAAAACAAACAAACAAACAAACAAAAAAACAAAACAAAACAAAAAAACACCCAAAAAACCCAAATTCGTGAATTCTCCACAAGGCGGCTCACGGCCCCTTCCACTCCGTCCGCGGGGGACGCCGCTTCCCGCGCGCCGCTGCAGCCACCGCGCCCTCTGGCGGAGCCGCGCGGCGCGGCGGCCGCACCCCCCTCCGCGCTGGAATGGTGCGTGCCGGCCGTGCCCCGGACGCGCTCGGGGCGCCCGGAAGAGGCGGCGGCGGCGGCGGCGGCGGCGGGCGGGACGGGCCGGAGGCGGAGCCCGCGTGTCCCGATCGCCGCTCCGGGCAGCAGCGGGGAGCGCGGGCCCGCCGGCCGCGGCGGCACGATGCTGCTGTTCGTGGAGGTGAGGTGGCGGCGCCGCGCCATGTGGCGGGAGGAGGAGGAGGAGGAGGCGGCGGGAGGCCGCGCACGCCGCGCCGGGGGAGGGGACGGGGCTGACACAGCAGATCCGGCGGTGGCGGCCGCGGGCGGGCGGGTGGGTTTCGGGGAGGCTCGGGGGGCGCTCTGGGAGGTTCGGCCGGGGCGGGGGGCGGCGGAGGCGCCGCCGTGACCTTCGGGGGCGGCCGCGGCCCGGCCGTGAAGGTGACGCGGGACACGCGGGGCCTCCCCGAGGCCTCGCAGCAGCGGGCCCGGCCCGGCCTCTGCACACGCGGGGCGGCCCCGCGAGGCCGGCCGCGAGCGCGGCGCCTCGTTAATTGCGTTAATTAAACGCTGGCGGTGGTTTGCGGCGCGGGAAGCGGCGCGGGTTCTGCCGTTCTCCGGCGCGCCGGGTCCGGGCGGGACGAGGAGCGCGGCCCGGCCCGGCCCTGGAGGTCACCGGGGAGGGCGGGCGCCGCGTCCGCTGTGGCCCGGGATGGGCTTTCAGCTGCTCGCGGCGTTTCACGGGCTCGGTGAAGCGGTTTTAACCTTCGCTGAGCGAACCCGGGTGGCCGCTGTAAACTTTGCACCGAGTTTTGTCCCAAAACGTGCGCGGAGCAAGGAGCTGCCGGGGCCGGGGGAGTCACGGAGGGAACCGGGCGGGCGCTGGGCTGTGTCTGCACGGGAGGGCTCGGCTCGGGGGGTTCGGCTCGGGGGTTTTGTTCAGGGGGGATTCTGCTCTGGGGTTTTGTCCAGGGGGTTCTGCTCTGGGTTCAGTTCGGGGGGATTCTGCTGTGGGTTCGGCTCGGGGGGATTCTGCTCTGGGTTCTGCTCTGGGCTCAGCTCGGGAGGTTCTTCTCTGGGGTTTTGTTCGGAGGGTTCTGCTCTAGGTTCAGCTCTGGGGGTTCTGCTCTGGGTTTTGTTCGGGTGACGGTGAGATAGTGCTGGTGGGCTCGCACACAAACACCAACATGTGCTCCGTGGTTAGGAGCCCCTAAATAAAGCAGTTTGGGAGACACGATCTCTTTCTTAAGTGAATCACCTCAGTTCTGAGCTGGATGTTCCTCGGCTTCGCGGGGAGGATTAAAAGTTGTTCCGAGCACCGTGACAGGCCTGGAGAATTGGGGGTTGCAGGTTCTGCTGGAAGAGGAACTGCTGAGGCTGCTGGGAGGCACGAGCAGCTGCCTCATCCCAGAGAGGCCCCGCACACGAGGCGGCTTCTGGAATGCAGGGATGGAGATGGGGACGGGAGCTGGAGCATATCAGGGAGCACATGGCTGCTGCTGGTGTGGATGGGAGCTGGAGCTCATCAGCATTTGGGAAGTTTAGGGTGGCCTAAAGCACAAACTCAACTCTGGTCTTTCTCTGATAGCGTTGGGAGTTTCTGTGATCTTCATTCTGGAAGCCTCAGTAATATTTAATTATGAGTTCCTGACGATCATATGGATTTTCTGAAGGTTTCTTTTCACTGCCAGGACAGAGAACTGGAGCTCTGAGCTAGCTATCCTGGAGTGCTGCAGTTGGATGCTTGGGAGCAGATAGCAGCTTTATCTGGGGATCTTTGGGGATGCCTGGAAAATAAAGCACAGGACAGGTGGAAGTCCCGAGGTTTTCAGGGGGATTGCTTCAGTTGCTGTAGCTGTCAGTGTTTTAAACTTGGTGATTGTGCCAAGTCCTTCACAGTGCATGAGGGGGAGTTGGGTTTCTTTCAACATCCTTTAGCTCCAAATCTCTGCAGTGATGGCTGTATAAGGCTTGTGCTATTTCGTACATTTATGTTTGGGGCAGGGCTTTTTTCCTCCTCTAAGCCAGGACCTGTGTGCTGTTAACAATTAATAATTAGGTGCATTTGGAATATTAATAAATACATTGAGAGAAATGGAATTGATAATGGGCTGCACTCAGATGGCTATGTGCTCCTAATTCCATATATTTGTAATTTATTGAGGAAATGGGAATCTGTGCGTTTCAGGTGGGTGAAATGCTGCCCATGATGTTTCCTGGTTAGAAATCCAGGACTGTGAGCGTTGTTGGCCCTCTCGAGCAGGTGAGGCTCCCTGTGACCCCACATTCCCCTGTTCACACTCCTCTGACCCAGGTACCACCTGCAGACAGCACAGCTGTGTCTTGGCTTTTCCAAGGGGTGGCTCCTCAGTGGAAAACCCTGCAGCTCCTGCTGGGAGGGATGTTCCTGTGACCACTGCAGTTACGGTGAGGTTGGGAGTTAGCAGAGCACTGAGCTGTTACCTGAAACCTGCCAGCAGCTCTGGAGGAGTTCTTTGTGCTGCTTTGACACCAACTTCTCCTCATCCAGCCTCTGAGTCTGATTCAGCCCCAGGAGGTGATGGTGACTGCCCTCAGAAAAGGTGCTCGGAGCCCCTCAGGCTCCCTACCTGCCTGTCCCCCAGCCAGCACAAGGCTTCTCTCAGCTGCCTCCCGTGGCTTTGCTGACCTTGGGGTTTTTCCATCTGCTTACGTTTCCATTTCTGGAAAAGGGTTCGTTTCTCCCCTCACAAGTTTGGTTAAATTCTCTTCTGGATTTTTTGCTTTGTTTTCTGTTTAAGAGAGTTTGTCTACTCTAGGAAATCTGTCACAAGCTCTGGGTTAGGATTTTGGTTGCAGAACAGTTAGAGTTAATATTAAAATTGAATGCTTTAAAACTCTTTGAGTGCCTGCATTTTTGTTAGCTTCATTTAATCTGGTTAAGTGTAATTTAGATGTAATTACAATAAGAAAAATACCCTTTGCCATGTTTCAGAATGAGAATTTTCTTCAATAACCCATTTTTAGGAGTTGCTGGAGGAGAATCTTGGATCCACATTTGCTGGAAGCAGTGTGAGCGAGCGGGGAAGCTGTGCTGAGGAGAGCTTTGTCAGCTCGTGGATCCCAGCGAGTGTTCCCAACCTTTGTCACTCTGTAAAGCTTTAACCTCGTCATGAAAGTTCCCGATAGCAGCTGGGAGGATCGTGCTGCAGCCAATCCCACAGGCTCGGCGTTTGTAGCCTCAGTTAAATAAGCAAGAATTGATATTTTGGCCTTCTCTTCTGAAGAGCCGCTGGCCAGGACGGAGCGATTTTGCTCGTGGAGCGCAGCGTGAATTTCCCAAAAGCTGATGTAAATTAGGGACTTTTTATCCTCTGCAGTCCGTGGGGTTTTGCTGTTCAGATGAGTGAGAGCAGAGCTGCATCCTGCTGGGCTGTTACAGCTCGCTGTTCCTAGCACAAGGGGAAGTGGCCCACGCTCTGTGCCAGGTGTGTGTCCCTGCTGCCATCGTGTCCATCACTTCAGCAGAGTTGCTTTTAGTCCCAATCACCTCCAGAAATGCAGTAACCACAACAAAGTCTTTCAGTTTCGCTTTATCACATTTATTCCTGCAAATTGCTTTAGGCCTGAGCTCAGTGCTACCCTTAGAGATGTAGGTAGTGAGGCATCGTTTATTTTTAGAAAAGAATGAATCATCTCCTGGGTATGTCTTGTTTCTTTTTGCTTTGTTGAGAAGTAAGTTCAAGGAGCTGCTGGCTCTGGGTCTGTGAGCAGGAGCCCATGTGGGCAGGTGACACTGCCCCAGGAGTGACCAGAAGCTGAGCAGAACTTAATTTGGAACTGCTGAACTGCAGTGACAGAGCCTGTGGTTGCAGCAGGTTACTGGGTTTTGCTTTGCAGGTTGTTTTGTTGGGGAATAACTGCTCTGAAATCTGCAAAGGGAAATACACGTGTGTCCTTTCACCCTGAACTATTTCCAGTTTCCAGCTCTGCTCCTGGGCAAAGATTAACGGGAGGGGAAGACTGTTGCTATGTGGATTAAATCAATTGTGCGTGGGGGGTTTGAATCTCGGAGCTTTGCAAAAACCGTGGTCTTTGTTTTGCTTCTCACATGGTTGTCTTGAACTTCTCCAGTTTTTGGAGGCTTCTTGTTACTGAGCAGGGGCTTGTCCTTGCAGCAAACAGCTCTGGCACGAGGTGTGACCTTGGCAGAGGAATTATCTCTAAAGCTATTGCAACTGCTTCCTTATCCTGTGCTGTGTGTTTGAGGCCTGGTAGTGAGCCACTCCTTAACTTCAGAATCCAGGAGCCTGGCCTCCAGCATATCCAGCTTGCTTATCTGTGTGTTTGTGGATATGAGCTGGATTAATGGCTTTCACCTTTTAAAGTCCAGCAAATTGCAGCAGTGAAGTGGAGCATCGTTCAGTGGCTGGAGGAACTGTTACAGCTGCTTGTGGGGGGAGGATTTTTGCAAAAGGGTACTTTTATTCACTACCCTATAACTACAATTGTTATTTCACTGTGTGAAGGGAGCAAAAGCCATGTTTTTCCTCTGTGCTGCTCATGGATTGTTGGATTCGTCACCCAAAATGCCTTTGAGCAGCTCGGGGAGAGGGGCCTTGAAGGACTCGATCTTGTGCTGTGGGAATGAGCGTTTCTCTGTGTCAGGTGCCAGGCTGCAGTCTTGCAGTTTTTCTTGTCTGTATCATTTATAACCCTTTGACTCTAATTATGGTCCTTGTTGCCCAGACCCAAAGTGAGAAGATCCTGTTCTCTCCCCAGCAGGCTGGGATGGTGTGTAAGTTTGTCTTGGCAATTCAAAACCTTTAATCTCCTTGGTTACCAGTCTGAGGAAATCATTAGTGTTTGTTGATGTGTGTAAGATTCCCGGGGGAACGGGGTAAGTTCAGGAGGAATCCTGGCACGGCACAGGTGATGCTTGGTTAGTACAGATGTCACTAATTCCGTTAAGTTATACAGTTTCTTCTCCTTGACATATGTTTTTTTACCTTCCTTTCTAGGAAGGGGTCTGGAGGAGGGAAAATTTCCCTTTCTGGTGAAAGGGGACTGGAGCATTATGACAGTCAAGTCTTTAAAAGCTTATGAGTTCCCAGAGTCCTTGCCGAGTAGCCGCTGCCTCCGCTGATGTTGTCGGATGTCAATAAAGAGAGGTTGAAGGCAACACTTCTAATGGAGGTAGAAACGAAATACTTGGAAAATACCAAGGATTTTCCTGTTTTCATTAATAAAAAAATCACATAGGTGCTTAATAGCTGGGTAGACACTTGAGATGTGGAACTCTAGAGACAATCACTAAATTCGCCTGTATTTTCTGGCTTGACTTCTGAGGCTTCTCTGGGTTGCTCTAACTAACCGAAGTGTTCTGATCTCTTCAGCAGGTAACATCGAAAGGTGCTGGCTTGAACCCCAACGCCAAAGTGTGGCAAGAAGTGCCCCAGGGCAGTGCTGAGGCCGTGCCCCCCACCAATGGCACAGAGCACACATGGCAGGAGACCGCGGCAGCCCAGGGGACTCCGGCCGAGGGTGAGGGGCTGGGACAGGGTTGGGATATGGGTCGTGACATGGCCCCTTCTGGGGGACACTCGGGGGGTTCAGCTGCGAGGAGCAGCCTCTGGCTCTTATCCTTGAGGCTGCCAGTGTTGATGGAGCAGCGGGTATGAGGGGGAGATGAGAAAGCAGCAGGGTTTCAGCAGGGCTCTGCTTCAGGAAGGTGTCTGAGCTCTGCTGGACCAGGATTCAGGGGCCTGGTGATGACCAAGTAACGCGCTAAGAGGGGAGCAGGGTGCTGAATGTGTAGAAATGGATTCGTGACATTGCTGCACTGGAGCATCCACTGGACCCTGTGAACAGGAAAATGAGATCTGAGGGCCACCTGCAATCCTGGCGAGCTCAGGTGCTGCTGAGAGCTGTCAGGAGCATCTGTTCTGTTCTGTGCAGCACCCATGGTTAACTCCTTTCCATTCAGGCTGTTCCATGTGCTGCAGTTCCATTCCCATCCTTATCATCACACAGGCAGTGTCCAGAGCTGAGGATTCAACTGGTTTCACTTGTTTGGCTCAGACTTGATCCAGGGATGTAGCTAAGGTGACTCAAAGCATGGCAGAGGATGCAGAAGATTCCCTACAAAACGGTTTAGTAAAAGTTAGGGATAAAGAAGAGAACATTCAGCTTGTATGGCCTTGTCAAAGGTTTCTGGTAAGTCAGCAGAAGTGAGGAGAGAGTGCTGGGTTTGTGCTTTGCCTGACAGAAACTCATTTGTCTCTTCATAACAAAGTGAAGCAATTGAGGCAGTGTAAGCAATTTTCATCCCTTGTTTTTAGGAACCTTGCTTAAATATTTTAAATTTCATGTGGAAGGACTGGTTTTTAGATTTTCTCGCCACTTTGGGGATCAGTTTCAGGATCCTTTATTTACTTTTATTTACTTTTCCCTGAGAGCCTAGTGCAAACCAGATCTTCCTGAAATTGGAGAGGTACAAGTCAAAGAAATACAGGCTAAGGTTAGACACTCTCAAGTACAGCTTTCTTCAGTATTTAATGTTTTTAGCCATAATTTTTCAAATGGGAAACATGCTGAAGCTGACAGTTTTCCTGCTGCTGCTGTGTTCCTTTGCCAGGTAACATAGAGATCTCAGAGGACAGCTGCAAGCAGTATGAAGTGATGTATTCCCCGGCCTGTGAAGCCCCAAGGAATGGCACAGGAGTTGATGAGGCATCAGCAAATGGAATTGTCCTGGCGACTGAAGATCTGGGGTACCAAATCTATGAAGTGTCTGGTGAGTGTTAAAGTTCAAACGCTGCTGTCAGTGTCTGTAATCCCCCTGGAGCTGCTCTGAGTGTGGTGTGACCACGTTAGAGCTCTGACATGTCCATGTGTGTCCAAGAAGCTCCAGTATGGCCTCAACACGTGGCCAAACAGCTGCAAAGTGGGATCAGAGTAATTTTGAGAGTGTAGTCTGGGGGTCTTGAAGCTTTTCCTCTTGGTCCTATCCAGAGGGATTCATTCTTGTATTCTGCCATGAGGTGTGTCCTTGCCTGGTCTTGTTGCCATGAGAGTGGGGTTTGATGGTGGATGTGATCCCTTGCAGGTGATGGCAGCTCCACGGTGTCCACAGAAGACATTAGAGAATGTTTGAGAAAACAGCTTGAATTCTGCTTCTCTCGGTAGGTGCAGTTAACTCAGTCTGGTGTAAACCCTTTATTAAATAATCTTTGGCAAATATCCCTCTTCTTGGCTTGATGTGTCCCATCATGTTGATAAAAACACAAACCAAGATTTGCTGGTGTGCTGTAGGAGCCCTGTGGCACCTTCCAGCTGTTTCAGTGCTGTCTGTGCAGCTGTGTCCTTGGATGAGGATGACTTCTGTGCTCCACAGTCATAAGATGTTGAGATCATGTTCTGAGTGGCACCAGAAGTCTTTTTGGCAGATCCTTTTTGCAGACAGACGTGTAGGGCACTGGAATTTCACTAAGTTTTAAAAAATATCTTACTCTGTTTTGTGTTGATTTGCTGGGATTTATTCCAGGAGAGAAAATCTGAGGGTGTTTTGGTTGTGAATGGTACTGGTGAATATTTATTTAAGCCTGTAGTTATCCTCTTGTTTTGAGTTTTCTCTTAGGTTCAGGATCTTTTATTAAATAACAATTTTATATCTTTTTAGAGAGAATCTTTCAAAGGATCTCTACTTGATGTCTCAGATGGACAGTGATCAGTTCGTTCCAATATGGACAATTGCCAACATGGAAGGGATTAAGAAGCTGACAACGGACATGGACCTTATTCTTGAAGTTTTGAGATGTAAGTCTGGGACTTTGGTATCTGTATCAGGACAAAGAATCCTTCCATGCTTCAGAGGGATGCTGCAGTCTCTGAGCTGGTTATGGTTTGTTCTGGTAAATGGTGACAGGAACTTTACTGAGTAGCAGGCTCTTCCAAACTCCTGAATGCTCATTCTTTGTTCCAAATTCCATGAGAGAGTCTGCCACTGCTGAGATGTCCAAATATTATACTTTATATTTTCAGCTTCTCCTATGGTACAAGTGGATGAAAGGGGGGAGAAAGTCAGACCAAACCACAAACGATGTATTATCATTCTCCGGGAGATCCCTGAAACTACACCAATAGAGGTAAATAAAGAGAAAGGAAATAAATAACTGTTAGTGGTTTTTGAAGGTGTTTTCAACAGCACCAGGAGAAGTCAGCTGGTGTTTAATTGGATTATACATGGATATTTTTCTTCTAGACCACATCAGTAACTTTTTCCGCCTGGGTGCAGTGTCAAAACAGCCAAAACAAAAACTTATTGTCATTATCCCTACCCATTGTTTACTGCTGTATTTAAACCTTCTTAAGTAAACTTTTTTCCACCGAAGCTGAGCTAGCTTGGCTTTTCTGGAAGGAAGTTTGAACTGGTTTCTTTTCAGATCCAAAAATAAATCAGTCCAGGGCATAGCTTGGAATTCAGGCTAAATTTTTGTCACAGCAATAACTTTACTTGAAGTCAGACAGTTGTTTTGGCAGCAAGAAATGTTGCTAAACATTTCTCATTCATTGAGCCCCAGCATGAGCTGAGCTCATTATGCCCAAGGAGGGAGGATAATAAAATTCCTCCTGATACTTGGCAAACAGAATGATTTAGTTCTTTGTTTTTTAAAGTTCTAATACGTAGTGTTTTTCTACCAGCATTTTTAATGAGTTCTTTTAATGCCAACTCTGAGCAGCTGCTTGTCCCTCTCTTTACAATCTGATTATCGCAAAGCTGTCAGGTTGCCTTGACTTAGAAACATTTCATGGAATCACTGTTGTCTCCATGACCCTGCTGATATAAAGCCACATTTTTCCTATCTGTTTCATATGAAAATATCACCAGGTCTACACAGATTTTGATTTTCTTCTCAGCTGTGGCTGCTCTGTTTTATCTTGGGAGCCCAGGAGGCTGAGCTAGGATTTGTGGGTTAAGCAGGTAGAGGGTGATTTGGTCAGGGAAATAAGAAAACATCCCTGGGCACAGGAGAGCAGCAGCTCAGAACCTGGGTCACTTTAGTGCTCGCTGTACAAGAACCCTGAACTTCTCTCCCCAGGAGGTGAAGGCTCTGTTCAAGAATGAGAACTGCCCCAAGGTGATAAGCTGTGAGTTTGCTCACAACAACAACTGGTACGTTACATTCCAGTCCGACACAGACGCTCAACAGGTAAGGCTGCCTTCCTCTGACAGCCAGCTTTGATCCTTCCCCTGCTCAGGGACAGTGCACTTGAGCTTCCTGCAGCTAAAAGCAATATTTATTTACTCATCCCCTTTTTGTTGTTTTAAGAGATTACTGGTAGATTTTAGTTAATGAGATCAAAGTTGAGAGATTGTGGGGTTATAATTCCCTTGCCTGGCTCTTGCCTTGGCATGACTGGCACTAGAATCCTGAATTTGAAGTGTTAATGAATTTAGCTGGGCTCACAGGGAAGCACATGACTGCACGTTTGTGTTAAATCATGGAACATCCTTTGGGAAGTACAAATTCTAATGTTGATCTTTTTTTTTGTATCTGCAGGCGTTCAAATACTTAAGGGAAGAAGTGAAAACCTTTCAGGGCAAGCCAGTAATGGTGAGGCTGCTTCAGCTGCTGTTTCTCTTGGGGTTGAATTGTGTTGTTTCTGTTTGGATAATGGTGATTTGGTTTGTGGGGGGTGAACCAAGAACTCAGCAGTGGGATAGTCCAGAACTCTGGCTCTGGAGGCTGGAAACGTGAATGAGGTCATGGGGAGCTCTGACAAATTACAGTTCAGTGGCTGCTGGTTACTCACAGCACTGCTTCCCAGGGGGGGTGAAATACATTCCTGTGCTGGCTTCCCTTCTCCACTTGCCCCAGAATCTGGGTTTGCAGAGCTCAGGAGAAGGATTCCTGCCACTGTGAGCCTTGAGTTGGCTGCTGCACAAAGCAGGCTGGAGCAAAGTGCATGTACTGTGAGAGGAGCTGTCATGATTGGAGTCTGGACATTTCCTGCATTTATCTTCAGTTTTACAGATCATCCAGCTAAAGCAACACGTGTACTTCCTCTTATCATGCTGTGGGAATATGAGCTGCACTGATTTTATCAGTTTTTATTAAAAAATAGCAATCAACCTTCACATCCCTCCAGCAGGCAAAAAAGACTCCACATTCTCCTTTTCTCCCAGCTAATGCAGGGTGTCATTTGCTGTCTTGCAGGCCAGGATAAAAGCCATCAACACGTTTTTTGCTAAGAATGGTTACCGGGTGGTGGATTCCAGTGTGTATCCCCAGCCTGTGCAGACCCAAGCCCAGTTTGCCTCCCCCCTGTTTATGCAGCCTGTATATAGCCCTCAGCAGTACTCGATTTACAGCATCGTGCCTCAGACCTGGTCTCCAAATCCTGCACCTTACTTTGAGACTCCACTGGTGAGTAACAGCTGTGAGAAGGGGAGGAGGAGCCCAGCCCATCAGGGATGATTTGGTTAATAATCACTGGGGTGAGGGGGTGTTGCAGGTTTCTTGGTCAGATCCTTCTGTTTTATGACATTTATGTCACAGCCCTGATGAAGCAGCACTGTTAGAGGAGCTGCCAGTCTCAACCATTGGCTGCCACGTATTTCAAGGAATTTTGGTGTGAAATTCCATTATCCTGCAGCTTGTGTTACTGGAAGAGCCCATAGCTTTTCCAGGAATGCTGAAGCAGATGCAGACTGTGAAGCTGTGGGGATTTGGCTGGAGTAGTGAGTTCCCACCACAGCAGATGCTGTAGGCCAGTGTGAAATTACAGCCATGAGTAGCTGGTGAAGCTGATCATTAATCTGCAAACACTCTCTTTGTAGCTCAACCTGTTGTGTCTGTTGCAGGCCCCGTTTCCCAACGGTGGATTTGTGAATGGCTTTAATACACCAGGATCATACAAAACAAATGCTGCTTCTCTCAGTATAGGTCGCCCATTCCACAGGAATCGGTAAGAGAGTTCTGCCAGGAGTTTGCTCCTGCAAAACTGACACTGCTGAGATCCTCAAGTGTTACTTGCATGTCACATGCAGTGCTTTCTGATGGGACCACACTATTTTGTTTTATCAATTATATGACGTTTTTCAAGTTTATTTAAAAAATGAAGTAGAAAGCAGCAGCTTAAGATCCTAAAATAATGGACACAGTGCTGGAGAGAGCCAAGGTAACTCTTTTTAAAAGCCTCAGAGGAATTTTTGCAGACAAATAAATAACTTCCTCCTCGGTCATACTTGTAATTATGTTTGTTATACCCAGATTATAAACTCCTGCAGCACAACATAAGCCTTTCCTGCTGGGATCAGGCTTGTGGAGCTGCTGGTTCCTGCAGTGGGAGTTGCTTGTCCTGACTGCAGTGTCCAACTGCTTGATGCTGGAACTGTTCCTGTAATTTATTTGCTTTATCCCCATCTTTCCTGAGAGCTCTAAGAACTTAGCTCAGATACAAACACCGGGGAGGAGGAAACACTTTGTATTGCTGGAGCAGTTGCTCTGTGAACACAATGGAGTTGTAACCTGTGTGTGGGGGTGGGAGTTGTTTGTGTGCAGCACTGGGCTGGGATCATGGGAATTGCTGTTGGTATTGTTAGAGAAATCAGTCGACAGCTGCCAGGGCTCTGAGTGGGTTTGTGGTGCAGTTCAGGTCTGGGGCTGTTGGCAGAAGGGGAACTTTGGGCTGTGGTGACTCAGCAGAGTCTTAACCCAGACTGTGGAACTGGGAGCGTGACTGCCTGGAAGATGGAGCAGCTGCTCCAGCTGCAGCTGCTCAGCTCCCAGCTCACATCTTGACAAAGGTGGTTTGGATTTTTTGTTTTGCTTTAAATTGTGCACAATATTAAAACCTGTATATGGGCCCTCATGGAAGTACAGGTGCTGCAGCTGTGCAAGAGCTGTGTGTATCCAAGTGCTAGCACCTTGAAATGCCTCCCTGTACATCACATCTGCATAACTCTGAAGCTTTTAAAATCCTGCTTGTGTAAAGACTTCAGTTTGTAAGACTTGGGTGCTTGAGGTTGCAGCTTTGGGGCCAGGATGTGCAGGTCCTGCCGGCCCCGTGATGATCCAGTATCGCGCTAAGAGAGAACAGGTCACAGTCAGGGGCTGGGCAGCCTGTGCTCTGCTTGTCCTTCCTCCTGCTCTTCCTCCTTCTGCTCTCACATCCTTTCTCCTCCTCTCTGCTCTTTTTTCCACCCCTCCTTTTATCTTTCCTTGTCTTTTCTGCTTTGCTCTTCTGCCCAGACAAGACTGTGACCTTCTCGATGACGGGTAAGATTATGAGATCTGAGGGCTGAACAGTGACTTGAGAATAATTTGGTAAGATTATGAGATCCGAGGGCTGAACAGTGACTTCAGAATAATTTGGTAAAATTATGAGATCTGAGGGCTGAACAGTGACTTAAGAATAATTTGGTAAGATTATGAGATCTGAGGGCTGAACAGTGACTTGACAGTATGCCATTTTGAGAACAACTTGGACAAAATGGAAGAGTTCAGTTGACTTTGCTCCACCTCCTCCCTGTCATTGTTGCTGATGGCCAACTTAAACTTTATTGGGCCCTTAAAACTGGTTCTTGAGGTTGGGGAAGTGTGAATTCATCTCTGTTCAGCAAATCTCCTCTTGACCTGCACAACAGCTTGTTTGGAGAGTTTGTCCAGCTGCTGCTTTTGGGTTTCTCTCCTGACCCATTAAACCTGATTTGTTTTGTGGTACAGACAGTTAATAGTTAACTGCTGGAGTTTTCTCTGTGGCTAAACATTTGTTTAAGCCACTTGTATTTATTTTGTGCTGATTTGTTGCAACATCCTTATGCAAAAGGGAGATGGAAGAATTGTACTTTGTCTGGCACTAGGAGAGTTTCTTCTGATTTAATGGAATATTATAATGAGATTGTTTAAAAACAGCAAGTGTGCAAAATCCTCCTGCTGCCCTTAAATCATGAGATGTGCAGAGTTTACCAAAGGAGAGAGAATTTAGGATTTTGTCTTTGATCAGTGCTGCATAGAAAACCAGTGAGGGGCGAAAGCAGAAAATAGTTGAAGACACCTAAATGCAGCTCCAGGAAACTATTCCATATTGTGCTGGATCTGAGCTTTTCTGGAGAAGTCTGCATTTAAGACCCTGAGCCTGCACTTGCAGCAGCACTGCGAGTGCAGAGCTGTGTCTGTGCTCAAAGGTTAAAGCTGAATGATCGATAGTGGGGTGGAACATTTGGGGTTTGGGAGCTGCAGAGTCGGTGCTGAGGGTTTGGGAATGGGAGCAGCCAGGCTGAGCCTGGCTGTGCATGGCAGGGCTCAGCTGCCCTGGCCTGATCTGCCACGTTCAGTCACTCCTGGCCTTGTCTCAGTTCAGTTTGTTTGCCTGTGGCCAGGTCAGTCTGTTCCTCGGCCTTGGCTTATTTCTCCAGCTCCATTTCCAATGCCCTGTGCCAGTGCTGCAGGCCCGGACAAAGGAAAAATTCCTCTTTGGGTTCTTCTGGCTCTTCTGCAACCCTAAAATTTTGTGATTTTTTTTTTTTTTTCAGTTGTTAAAGGTTTTGGAGGTCTTTCCCCCTCCTGGGTATCTTTTGGGCAGCAGTCAAACAGGAGTTGTGGTGCTTGCTGAGCTGCTTTTCTGGTCAGCTGTGGATCACCTGCAGGTGGTGGTGGTTCTGCTGTAGTTCCTTGTTGAAACTCAAAATGTCCCTCAGACATTTTTAGAGGTTCCAGGCCTTGGTCAGAAGATTTGAGGCCCTGGCAGGCAGCTGGAAACAGCTGTGATTTTGGGTTTGAGCCATGGAATGATTTACCAACTTTGAAGGTGGAACAAGCAGTCACAAAAGTTTAGATATTATAGTAGAAGTAGTTACCAAGTAGAGAGAAGAATTTTTTAGTATTGTACAGGGGGATTTTAACACCTGTACAGGGGGGTTTTTATTTTGTACATGGGGGTCAGAAGTTTTAAGATGGAAGAATGTAGGCCAGTCCTGTTCCTCCTCTTTCTTCTTCCTTACCTCCATGTTCTTGGTGATGTTGGCACTCACAGATTGGTTTAGAGTAGAAAAACACCTTTTAATATAGGTAATAGGCATTGGGGAAAAACTGTAACCATGTAACACGTAATGTACCTTATAAAAGATAGAAAAGCACCATTTAATATAGGTAATAGGCATTGGGGAAAAACTGTAAACATGTAACATGTAATGTACATATAAAAGAAAGACACCATTTAATACAGAGAATAGGCATTGGGGAAAAACTGTAAACATTTAACACATAATGTACCATATAAAAGACAGCAGCAGCCCTGGGCAGGGGGAGAGAAGAAGACACCAGTCAGAGAGGATGTCAGGGTGTGTGTGTGCCTCTGCCTGAGCTGTGAGCAAACCACAGCAGCCCAAGAAGAAAACCTTTTAGATAACTTGCAATAAACTGCCTTGAGAGGCTGCAGAGTTTTCTTTGGAAGCTCGGGTTGGAGGAGAGACTTTTCCAGGCCGGGGTTTCCCAGTTCCCCAGCACGGAGGGGTCCCAGAGCTCTCTCTGTGCCCGCAGGGTGAAGCCCCATTTCCGCTCGTCCAGCAGCTCCGAGCACCCCGAGGGGCCGCCCGGCGCCGGGGCCCTGCCCATGGGCGACCTGGGCAGAACCAGCTCGAGGAATTTTGTCATGGAGCGGCACAGCAGCTCCTTAACCGGGCACCAAGAGCAGGGCTATGCCCAGAAGGATTCTCCCGCGGCACAGCTGGAGCAGAACGGCGATTTCGGCGTCGGCAGGGGCAGGTAAAGTGCTGTGTCCTGGGTTTGCTGTCACACTGCAGCTGGGGCTTGGCTCGTGTGAGCCACAGATACCAACCATCAGCACAAAGTATGTTTCTGTAAGGAGCAGCCATGAGAAAACTGACATTTAAGTAAATCAGGAGCAGTAAGTGCTGACCTGGGAGCAGGAACGGTTCCAGTTTCACTCTCCAGCTTGTAGTTACTCTGATAAACAGCTGGCAGTAAGACAGTGAGGTATCTTTATTTTAAAATATTTGTTCCCAGAATTAAAACAGATGCTGAGGTAAAGTTGGCATCTGTGTTGCTGTAAATAATAAGTAAATCCTCGGTTGGGGATTTGATGCTCCTCAGTATTTTAAGATTAACTGTTTTTATCTCTTTTAACTCAGGGTTTAGACGCTTGAAAGGGCAGATCAGTGAGAAATCAGGCTAATAAGTTTATTACTATAAAATAATTGTCCCTGTGCTTGGTCAGATGCTCATGCAGGGTGCTGAGAAAGAGGAGCTATTTCCATATTGACTCTTTTCCAACTTCTTCCAAAGTTGGAACTTTGAGCCCTTGTGAGGCGGGAGAACATCCCAGAGCCATGTGTGGGGAAGGCTGAGCAGGCAGCAGTGGGTGCGCTCATGCAGAGGGGTGGAGGCACTGACTGTTCTTGTCTTTCAAGGAGGAACGTCTTCAGAGGTCGGAGGAGACGGGAGGACGACCGGGTTTCCGTAAGTTCTGCTTCCCTTTTTGCAGGGAGTCACACAAAGGGCAGAGCGTTGGCTTCCCAGTTATTGAGGAATGGCAGAGTCCTTAAATCCTCAGATTATGGTGGGGGTGTACAGTTTTTCTAGGAAGCTCCTTGACAGCTTGCTCAGGGCTTTCACTGCTCGGTGTTATGACTTCAGTAACTTGTGTTTCCCTCTCCAGAGACCTCAACCTTCAGCAGAAACAAAGACTCAGACACCAAAGTTTGACTTGCTTGCATCCAATTTCCCACCTTTGCCTGGCAGCACAGCAAAAATTCTGGGAGAGCCTGTGCTGGAGAGCAGGATGTCCGACATCGTTAAAGGAGTCTGCAAAGAGAAGGTGCCTGCTCTTGTCTCTGTACACACACCAGCATAGCTGGGTGCTGTGACTCCCTTTTCCCTGTTCAGGGCTTGGTTTGTTAGAGCCACCTATCCCAGTGCTTTAATCCCAGACTTCTTTGTGCATTTTCCCAGTTTTTTTTGTGGGAATGCAGCTAGGCCTCATGCAGTTATGCTGTTGTAATGTGATGTTTAGGAATAAAGTGGGCAAAGGAGGAATGTTGGCTGTTGGAGAAGGAGCAGTTTGGTGGAGTGTAGCAAGGGATCTTTCCAGATGAATCCCTTCTTTGAGCTGGTGGGACTAAGCACTGACATTCTGGATGATCCAGCCTTAATTCTGGTTTTGCCCATATAAAGAGGTACTGCTTTAGAAGTGACAGTCCAAAAGAAATAAAACTGCTGTCATCAGGACTTGAGCAGCCTTTGGGACTACCCCGCTTCTCAGATGTCTTGCAGTGCCATATTGTGGAGCAATTTGAGTATGGCTGTGTATTTTGCAACGTTTTCCTCTGTGTGCAGGAAAGCAAAGACTCCCTCTGCCCCTGCCCGGCTCCTGCTCCGGAGGAACAAACGCCCAGCGCTGCCCAGCCCGTGCCCAGCGTCAGCTCCCTGAACCAGGCTGAGCCTGTGCTGCTGAGGTATGCAGAGAACATGGACTTAACATGGAGCTGTGGAGTGTCCTGAGCAGGAGGGGACCCACAGGGACCACCCAGTGCAACCCCTGGCCGTGCACAGACTCCCCAACAATCCCTCCCTCTGCATCCCTGGGAGTGTTGTCCAAATGCTCCATGGGCAGCCTCAGGGCCGTGCCCATTCCCTGGGGAGCCTGGGCAGTGCCAGACTCTTCTGGGAAAGAAAAGAAAGATTCTTCTTTTCCTGCTATCCCTCCAGTGGTTCCCTTGTGTCCTGTCCCTGGTCACAGGGAGCAGAGATGGGAGCTGCCCCTCGGGATGAAGCTGCAGCCCCCCATGAGTCTTCCCTCAGCCTCTTCTCCCCTCTTCCCCAGAGCCCTCAGCCTCTCCTCCAGACCCTGCCCCATCCCCTTCTCCCTGCTTTGGACCCTCTCCAGCAGCTTCAGATGTTTTTGATATTGTGGTGCCCAGAGTGCCCCCAGGTCTGGAGGTGAGGCCAGCCCAGTGCAGCAGAGTGGGACAATCCCCTCCCTCACCTGTGTGGCACCTGATGCCCCCAGAGCCTGGTGACCCTTGGGGCTGCCAACTCTGCTGACTCATCTGCATGTTCTAGCAAGGTCTGGCAGTAATGTTGGGTGGCATCTTCTTCTCCAGAGGCCACCAGATGGAAAGGACAGATAAGGGTGGGAATGGCTGTGCTGTTGTGTTCTGCACTTGTGACTTAAAGGAAGTAATCTGTGAAATGTGAGCATCGGTAGGTTTTAATTTGAATTGTTGTTGGTTTATCAGCACGGTTCAGCCAGAGAGCAAACCAGAAGAAGTGTCTGCTCCAAAGGACGTGGCCAGCCCGGCTTCTCCGCCGGCATCCGTCTGTCCCATCAGTGCTGCCAAGCCAGCGAGGACAAACACCTCCTCACCCTCTGCTCAAGCAAGTGCAGCTCCTGCTCTGTCGACACAGGTAAGGCCCAGAGCAGGGAGCGGGGATGACACCGGGAGCTTCCTCTGGGATGTGCTCCCCTCTGCTGTGGTGCCTGGGATGGGCTGGGAGGTGGCCGTGCTGCATAAACCTCGTTCTTCTCCTTGCTCCCAAAGGAGCCTCGCAAGCTCAGCTACGCCGAAGTTTGCCAGAAACCCCCAAAGGAGCCACCTCCAGTCCCCGTCCAACCTCTGCGGGAGCACCGCACCAACATCGTCCCCCCTGCCAAAAACGAAGACAACGGTACGGCGGAGAAGGCTCCGGAGAAGGCTCCTCACGAGAGGCCCGAAGCTCGAATGAAGGATTACCCCGGCTTCCGCGGCCCCGGGGCTCCCAGGGGAGCTGCTGGCAAAATCAGGGAACAGAGGCGCCAGTTTGGACGCAGATCTTCGCCTCAGGGAGCGCCGCGCCGCGTGGGCAAGGAGCAGCACGTGGGCAAGGAGCAGCACGTGGGCAAGGAGCAG